ACCCCTGAGTCCTAAAGTGGAATGCCTTGTAAGTCTCAAAGTAATTTACACTCACTATACGAAATGCGACAGCATTAAGCTGTTATTTTACCCTGGTGTTCTGTAATTCATTGGTCCTACCCCGTCGAGCTATTTATGCTACAAACTATAGCTGCAACTTGGCTCTACCAGATATAAAATTTATCATTTAAGTTTACCCAAAAAAAAAAAATTGTTCACTGAACCAAAGCTTCTAAAAAATAAAAATCAACCTTAGTAAGTGAAATTATTTTATTTTAAAAGCAATCACAAATAGCAGAGACCTGAAGCACGTAAAGTTAATAAAGATGTGTCTTGTACCTTTTAAAATCATTTAGAACGGGATGAAACAGGTAGGTAGTTGCCAAATTCAGCCAGGCTCTCATCAATATTCATAAACCATTCCCTGTCGTGCTTCAACGGCTGAAAACTGTAAATTTGTCACAACCATTCTGTGCCATGACACATTGCATTTGTGTGCCGTCATTTGAATACATTACAGTTATTAGATTTAGGAAAAGCTAGTTTGTTATAATCGGTAAGCCACGCTTTAATACTGGCTGCATACAATACACATAATGCTACTATCTCGTATTATTAGAGTAGAGAAACATATACCTATTTTACTAGTAACGATTTTTTTCATCGTATTCGCCTGGTGTGATACCACATCTGTACATTTTCCTGGTTAAAAATATCAAAGATATTATCAAAGATTGTATAAAAAGGGGTTATAATAATATTAAGGAATTTATGATAGTAACCCTTGAGAATGCAGTGAACGCTAGTGATCTATATCTAATTTGTTTTGTGTTGTTAATTATTGTGTAAATTTATTAATTGGAAACTGTTCGTTATTTCAAAACAGGGCCGCCGGGTTTTTTGCTGGTTCTTGCCAGAACAGGGGTATTTTCCAAATCAGTGGTAAATAAACCATAAAAGTGACTTTTAATAAGTACTATTTCTATTTATATTCGATAATAGAAGTCGGCGACTGCGGACTACAGCATCCAATTTCCATCAGATGGATTGTGTCCTCGTTTGTCATCTTTACCTCATTAAAAATAACTAACATGCGATAAGTTTCGTATAAGAAATCTGTCGATATCTCACCCCGAGAAAGTCTCAGCGCAAGCAAGCGGCGAGGATAATGGCGCTAACAACCACCCCCCGCACCGCACTCCCTGCTACTACATCAATCACTTAGCCCTTTGATGTGTTACTTCCCTGCTGAGTTGTTCTTATGTCTGTATTTTTAAGTGAAGCGATTTAATCAATAAAACAAGAATACTCGAAAACTATTAAAACGGATTAAAAAGAAACCTACCTTTTTTTTCTACCTCAAAAAACTATTTATTTATTTAAATCATTCATTCATTCATTACTGTCTATCAAGTCTTCAGCTGAACCTCACTTACTCTCCATCATCATCATCATTACAGCCTTTACAAGGTTTTATCGATCGATTCCAAAAACTATAGCTTTTAACCTAGAAAAACCACGTCGATTGCCGCCGATACGTACAAAATTGGTTGACACATTCATGAGATATCGTTAACCAAAAATTAAAAAAAATTATTTGAATAACTCCAGTATTTTATATTTAACGTCATAATTTGGTGCAATTTGGAGCACTTTGCATTTGAAATTAGCGACATGTTCCAGGGATGGCCTCCAGGGTCCACAAATTTTTATTTGACTTGTTATCTGCCGGGCTAGCATGAGCAGGGGATAAAAATTTTATCCACCGATTATATCCACTGACAAGGGATAAAATTGTCTTATCCCTATGTCAAAGCTTTATCCACCCTGCGAGCATGGGCCTATGGTGGATATAATATCGGCAGTAGATAAACTTATCCTCGCGCATAGATAATATACCATAGTATAAAGCTATAAACTATACTAGCTATAAACTAGTTTTAAGATTAAGTAGATTTACATTAACTTATATTTTCTTTTACCTTTTGTTTATTATATTGCTAAACTGTTCATAATTTTTGTTAAACAATATGTCATTTATAATATTTGTTATATTTATTTTAAGCGTATTTCTGCCTTGTTTTTATTTTTTCTATTATTCTAATTCTTTCTTTATTTTCTTTTGTATAATATTTAAGTTAAATATACATTGCTTGTATCAAATCGCAGGTATTACTTCGCTTGTGATAGCATTTATTAAAAAATATGTGTTTAGAATTAAGCCAATTGTGAAACTGGACAATACAGACCCTTTGGAGGTGGTGTAACCTCTTGAAGAAATTAAAAAAAAATATATCCCCGCAATTACTGCCATTATAAGAAAATTACAAAATACATCAAAATTGATGTCTACTCTAAGTCACAAAGATTTAATTTTAATTGAAAATGATGAAGCATGAAGAATAAAAATGTAATGATTTCAAACAAAACAAGGAATAAATAATTTTATAATCATGAGTATAGTATATTTAGCAATATATTAGCAAGCTTTGCTAAAGAATTAACATATTTCTTAATTCAAACCTTTGAATTGTAACTTTACTAAGTTTGATAACTTTATTTTAAAACGTTATAAAACTTACCTAAAATATAGTATAGACCGATTCTATTATCATTAAATTTGACTTGACCATGGACTCGCCTTGGGTATTGTTGACACAACCTATGTAATTAAATCATGCCATTGAGCTATTACCGGTAGTACCGGTAGGCGTAGTGTAGGGCGACCCCCCACTAGATGGAGTGACGACCTGGTAAGACATGCAGGAAGTCGATGGATGCAGGTGGCTCAGGACCGTGCTTTGTGGCATTACTTGGGGGAGGCCTATGTTCAGCAGTGGACTTGTGAAGGGCTGTAGCGATGATTGAGCTATTGAGACTTTTTTGGACAAGGTGGTTGTAATAGATGCTTACTTCAATATGCACTGGTAGTCCATCCACAGAATTAATAGCAGGCTTTAAAGCCTCATACAGTTCTTTACACAAATACAAAACAATCTTTAAGCATCCGAAACCGGCGTAGAAATTCGTTGTCGGAGAATTCCAATAGATTAAGTATTCTGATCACGTATCGATCGCTGATGTAATTCTCTTTCTTGTTTTTCAATTTCTGACACGAAAATGTAGTTGCAATAGGCTCGAGACATCTTTTTTGTATTAAAATGGTATGAAGATAAACTTAAACTCACGTCCGCGAAAGAGGATAAAATTGTCCCTTTCAAATGTCAAAAAGGGATAATTTTTTCTCTTTCCCTTGGCCCCATGCTACGGACGGGGAGATATATGTCCACTCGTTATGTCAAACGGGGATATACTATAGAGATAAGATAATTTTACCTCTTGTCAGTGGATATAATCGGGGGGATATAATTTTTGTCTCTTGCCCATGCTCGCAGGGTGGATAAAACTAAGCAAGGGATAAAAATTATATCCTCTCCGGGGATATATTCTCTCCGGCTCATGCTAGCCCGGCAGGGAGATGCTGCTGCCCATCTTCTGTTTCAATTTCCCGCCGTCGCTCTTAACACACCCACGAAGTGATAAGGGGATAGGAAGGTGGATATTAATTTTACACCGCCACCACACGGTCTTGTTGGGATTATTTGCTATTTTCAGAAGTCTTTCATACCTAGAAAAAAACTGAAAAAGGAGCCCATAGATAATTATTTTATCCAATATAAATAAATAAAATAGAATAAATTTTATAATCTAGAAAGTAGATTGGAACCTCCATTTAAGCAAATAATGCCTGTGTTTAGAGGGTCCGCACTTTCATTACTATATCCATGTTACAAGGCAGTATGGGTGAACATATTCTATATCCCATAGTAAAGTTATCTATTTATATTACTTACATTCTAAAATTAGGACAATCAAACGATAGGATTTAGTTTACTTATAAATACTGTATGGTATGTGTGTGTGTGTGTGGTGTGTCTGTGCTTGCGTGAGTTAAAATAAGTGTGTCTGATTACAGTGTCTGAATCTGAACAAATCATGTAACACGATCCAGAAGTTTCTGGGTTTCGTAAGTGTATTAGATATGAGTATTAGACCTTTTCTACACAACACTATCTAATTGCAAATCCCTTTTTCAATTAGATCGTGTTATCCGATCCGCTCGGGCTATCAACTCGATAAAATCTACTAATGTGGCATTATTTAAATTTGAGATAGACCCATTAAAATTAAAAAAAATGGTTGTTTATGTCTTAAAAACACGCAAAAAAAAACCTTGAGCTTAATAGAAGTCAGTTATATCAATATTAATGCCAGACAATTTAATTTTAGTTGTATATAAAGAAGAATAATTTGCTTTTCTTAGTTAAAATATTAATATATTGTGTAGGGATGGTACCACTTAATATTATCAGTACAAGATCATATTATAAACGGTCTATAATCAATTCAGGTTTAAACTAAAGCTATATACAGATATATGCATAATGTCCACTATGTAAAACATTATGTTATTATACATTATATAGTGTATATAATATTCACACACCTCATCATATATTATACTAGAGTCCCTCCCCGTCACCTGGGTAGAATCTCTTAATGTGGCGTGATTTAGAATTAAAATTATCATCAAAAATCATAACTTTATTGATTTCTAAAAAAGAATTCAATATTTTCTATGATGAAATTGCTTTATATCTGTCGTAAGTTACATAAATATTGATCTAATTATCCAGGCAGACAAAACTTTTAATAATAGTTCTTCATGTACTGTATTATCCCTGCAAGAACACCTTCAGCTCGTTAAAAGGCTGTTATTACATATTATATTACTATTCAAGTAGAGGAGTTGCCTCTCGATTTCTAAATATATTTCCAACCTTTTTCTTTAGTAAAGCGACTTACAGCGTACTAAGAAAGCCGCCTTTTATGTGTGTAAATCTTTAACAGAATATAAATCTCTTCAACACTCTTAGGGAGCTAAATAATGTTACACGAGGGAACCTAAAGGAACAATTGATATGGAAATCCGCATCAAGATGAAAAAAGAGGAATTCTTCGGAAGAGAAAGTTCTCGACCACTTCGCAATGTTATGTTCAAATTAACAGAACGCGAAAGGGTGGTGTATTTGTTTAGAGTACTTTTGTTGCGAGCGCTCTCAGATCTTCTTATGCTTAAACAATGTAGTAAAATTGCACGTCGCAATCGTTCATCGCACGTTGCATCGTAAGTACGCGATCGTAATTTTTTTTAATGTATTGGGTGACAAACGGTCACACAGCCCACCTGATGGTAAGTGGATGCTGTGGCCCATAGACATCTACATTCTATTAAGAATCAAAGCGTAGATACGATGTCACCCCTGAAGACTAAGATGGAATGCCTCATTCCCAGTAAAACGTGTCTCCGGTTCTCTACACTCACCATACGAAACACAGCAGCATTAAGCTCTTATTTACGCTGGTTTTCTGTGAGAGCGTGGTCCTTCCCCGGTCTAGCCAACCCATTCATGCTACAGCCATAATATAGCTGCAGCGTAGCCCTACCACGTAAAAGTTACTGCCCTATTGCCCTTTTTAATGTAAGGTGTTGTTGCCGTTGAAGTATTCTTTTTCCTAAAATTGCAATACTTTTTACGAATAAATATAAAGGGTTAATTTGCAATAACTGGCCAAATTTTCAGAGAAGGTTCATATTAACCAATATAGACAAATGGAAAAGAAACACTATTTAAAAAAATCGCCAACATATTGTACTTTTTATCTTTTAAATAAAAAAATTCCTGGTAATTCATTACTATAACAGATTTTACTGCGCACGCATTCGTAAGGGTCGACGTCAGGCAAATACTTTGTTGCTTACGAATCAAATTCAATTTCGGATAATTTCAAATAAAAGTAGAAGCCTTATTTACTCGTATTTTCAAAAACAGCAATAAGTGTGGTTAAACTATAATAGATTCGAGCGACCACTGCATACAGTAAAAACTTACAATGACAACCTTACGGGGCGTACTTGGTTCTATTGAATAAGTTAAGTATTGTATAATGATGCTTTTGTTGTGAAATGCAAATTATATTAAATAAATGAATAAGTACAAGAAGTGTGTGAGTGTGCCTGTGTGGAAAAGTCAAACAAAGAATACCTGAAAAATAGAAGGCCTCGTTACCAGTAAAAAAGGTTAACCACTGAAATATGGAACCTAGTCATAATGTTCTTACTGCAATGCGCAGAACGGACTTCTAAAGGCCCCCTATGTTTCCACTAGTTTGAAACGGGTGTCAGTGACGACAGCTGACCGCGACAACAACCGAACTTCAGATTAAACTACTGACGACTAGTCCATTGCTATACAGATTTTGTAAAGTGTTATCAAATAATTACACTGTCACTACAGTTTTTCATTTATAAAAATTACAAAGACATTCCCCGGTGGATAGTAAGCGAGAACCTGATTTCTTAGCGTGTTAAATCCACGCTACAGCTATTATAAGGTTGCAAGACTAATGGGTCGCTTCCGTCGGGAAAGGAACACACTCTTACAGAATAGCAGCATAATGCTGCTGTGTTTTGTATAGTAAGTTTAGACAAAAGATTATATTATAGATAACTAGAGACCCATTTGATCGGTAATGAGGTATTCTATATTAGTACTCGGGGCAATGCATCTTTATTTTGATTCTCAATCAAGGAAAGGTCACTTTATCTAATTGTCATTCGATAGGCTATCTTGTTACTTCTTTATAAATAAAAAATGCACGAAATATTTAAATGTTATGACATTAAAAATTATGACTGTATTTAACACAAGAAAGCCAGCAGGCGTCATTTGACCCGAATTAGAACTTTAGCGCCTTTATTTTATCCCAGCGCAACTTTTCTACCTCTTCTTGCAGCTCCAGTATCTTCTCGTCAGTTGCCAAGTCGAGTCGTCGAAGGTGGCAACCGAACCTCTACCGGAGATTCTTAGCACCCGCTGCCCCGCCGGTATCATGGACGCCACCGTAGCCAGGAATAGCTGGGCCGGCGGGGACTGGCGGCCGTCGGTTTGTGTCATTGCTCATCGGGGTATGTTTGCCATAGTTACCACCTTTTTCGAGCGGGTTGGCAACCGCATTTCTTATTATATTATTGTTGTTATCAGGAAGATGCTGCTGCCCATCTCCTGCCTGTCTCCCTCTGTCGCCTCTTACGACACCCACGGGAAGATATGTGGTAGTGGATATTCTCAACTGCAACTACACGGCAGGTTAGTAAATAGGTCATTATTTAGCTATACCGGTAAGAAAGTTAAAGTTATGTTAAAAAATCTATATAATTTAAAACTTGTTTAAAACTTTTGTGACTTATATTATTTGTTTTTTCAAGTCGTCGATTAACACCGGTTTGTACAAAAAAAATTTTTCAGCAAACGACTGGCAAGAAACTCTGTCGTTTCTTTTATGTAGGTGTTTAACATGCAAAAGTTTTGAAATAATTCAATCACAGAAGTCAATAAACATTTTAAAATGTCAGTTTTAACAAAATAATTTCGAATAATATACCAATGAAATGATTAAGTCTGGCTTTTTGTTCTTGTTTTCAAACCGGTATTTTATCTTTTATTTAACTATTAAAATTTCCTAACATTGTTATAAATTTGTATATTGTTTACGTCAATGATAGAAACTTTTACTATTAGAAGAGTTACAAGTGAGCACACAGCCCACCAGATGGTAAGTGGATGCTTTGACCCATAGAAATTTACATGTATTATCGACTGAGAATTAAAATATACGATTACACGTTGTCGACTCTGACAACTGAGATAGAATACCTTGTATTAGGTGAAAAGGGTATCCGATTCTCTTTACTAACCATACAAAACACAGCAGCACCAAGCTGCTATTTTTAGCAAGTATTTTATGAGAGCGTGGTTTTTTCCCGTCTTCCTATTACATGTTTTAAATGACACCACACTAAAGAAACTGGGGCATAAAATAAAAAGGCATTAGCACAGTAGACCACTAAAATAATTTGCCAAATCGTTTTATCTTGTTGAAGACTAAGAGGAGTTTTATGTATCTAAAAACTTACTTTAAATGGCAAAGTGTCTCATGAACACCATGAATAGTTAAAATTTATTTTTGGCAGAGACATTACCTAAACACTAGGATTTTCTCATGTATTGTGGTAATGCCTCTTTTCCAAAAAAGGGTCCTTCCCGATCGAGATGACACATTTGTGTTACAAGCATGACATGGTTTCAGAATAGCTCTACTACGTGCAAAAAAAAATCACTCGGATAAACATCTGGACCCGGAAAATTATGTTTTGGCCTTATAAATATTTGTTCCGTGCGGGATTCCAACCCGCGGCCCTTAGGACTGCAACTCATTGCTAGGTCACGGCGCCACAAGGCGTACCGTCGTCCAAAAAGAAACCAATAATATACAAAGTACTCTTTGGTTATTATTGCACAGGACTCTAAGACTATAATCATAATCATAATCATATCATAAACGCATTGCGGGCGTACTATAGGGCGAAAGGGGAAGAAACTGTGGGAATAGCGTATAGGGCTCGGATGCATTGCTTTTTTGCTGAGCTGGAGCCTTCTATCCCCGTCACGGAACAAAACCTGGCAGACCGAGTTCGGTACATGATGCGCTCGAAAATATTTGATGATGCCGAACTCGAACGACTACGATGTGAGGCTATTCCATCGTCGAATGAATCGGCTATGGCTGGAGATGCAGCTCCACATCTGACAGACCAGCATCCACACGTGGAAGCCGCCATTCGGATCATTCCATTTGTGGTTGATTCGAATGACGATGAAATAGTCTCCCACGAACTGGAGCAAATAAGGAGTATATTGGAAGAGGCGATTTTGGAAACGCGCAGCACCCCTCTCGAAAATCGACCGCGACTTCCCCGCATACCCCTAAGCAAGCGAAATCAGGCTGTCGTGAGGGCTCTTAACCCAATGCTGGTGACTTATTTGGAAGCCAGCCGGGACCTTTGCGAGACGGACTCAATTCTCTTTGGCGCCGCAGTGGCATTTTGCCGTATTATTGGTGCCAAACTTCCCATGGCTGGACGCGATACTACACAAAGTAGCGCCATCCCAGCCTGGAGACAAAGAATCGAGGAACATATCGCAAAGGCAAGGGCCCTTATGGGCAGACTGACAAGCTTCAGGTCGGGTAATAATAGACCGAGGATTGTGCGCACCGTTAGGATAGCGTTTGCTGGGACAAATATCAGTTTGTCCCAGCCGGATATCATTATGCAAAATTAACGGAGCGCATAGACGACCTGAAGCAAAAGATCGCTGCTTGGGGGAAGCGGATTCGACGATTTACCGAGAGGTCAAGGCGGTTCAACCGGAATCGTATCTTCCAGAGTGATCAGAAGAGGCTCTATAAATCGTTGGAGCGACCAAAGGTATGTGGAGCGGGGCAAGGACCGGATCAGGCTGATATTATCGCATTCTGGCGTGGCCTGTGGTCAGAGCCCGTAAACCACAGCGAGGGCCCTTGGATGGAAGTTGTGGCGAGCCGGGGTGCGAGTGTTACGCCTATGGACCCCATCACCATAATGCCGGAAGACGTGGCTGAGGCGGTCCGTAGGACCCCGAACTGGAAAAGTCCGGGACTCGACGGGCTGCATCATTACTGGCTGAAGGGGTTCATAGTGTGTCACGCTGTGCTCGCCCGACAGTTTCAAGAGGCTCTCGACCAGAAGTCGCTCCCGAGCCTCTTCACTACTGGGATCACTCACTTGGTTCCTAAAGATAAGAATACCACAGAACCGAGCAAATACCGCCCCATCACGTGTCTACCCACCATATATAAGACACTGACATCATTTTGAGCGCGAGAATCACTCGTCACCTGGAGCTAAACCAGGTGATATCACGCGCTCAAAATGGATGTCGGGGCGGTGGTCGTGGAACCAAGAAATCACTCCTCATTGACGCGGTCATAGGCAAAGTGGTGAAACGCAACCATCGGAACTTCTCTGCCGCCTGGATAGACTACAGAAAGGCTTTCGACTCGGTGCCCCATACATGGCTAAAGAGGTTCCTCGAGCTGTACAAGATTGACTGTACTGTTAGAGACTTCTTCGAGCAGTGTATGGGGCAGTGGAGTACGATCCTTTGTCATCTAGGCGAGCGGATGATGGCTGCGGAGAACCATAAGGATAAGAAGGGGTATCTTTCAGGGAGATTGTCTGAGTCCAATCTGGTTCTGCCTCTCTCTGAACCCTCTCAGTACCTTACTGGAGGGCTCCGGGAGGGGATTTCAGCTAAGGAAAGGAGGGACAAAAGTGACCCACCTTTTCTATATGGATGACCTCAAGTTATTCGCCTCCAGTCGCTCCCATCTTATGGAACTGCTAAACATCACTTGTGAATTTAGCAATTCCATTGGAATCGAACCGCGCCAGGCTCTACTGGGACCGGGCTATCATCACAGACAGGACTATTCTTGCGAATAAGCCTGTTATTGTGCTGATGGACCGGGCACAGTCAAGGATATTTTTGGTCGACATTACCATTCCGTATGACGAGAACCTTGTGAAAGCTCACGAGGTGACTGACATGTGAGGTGGTCTGCCGGCCGAAATTATTCCAGTAGTCATCTCTGCGAATGGTCTAATCCCAGTCAGCCTCTCGGGTCATCTGAGGCGACTGGGACTCCGTGACGGACCGCTCCGGGCTCAAATGCAAAAGGCAGTGCTCCTCGATACTGGATTCCATTGGAATCGGAAATGGGGACGGATAAGTTTGCGGTCCTCCATGTTGAAAGGGGAAGGGTTGCTAACTCTGAGGGAATAGACTTATCTATGCCCGTCAACTTAAGAACCCTTTCCGAGGCTGAAACATACCGATACCTGGGCATGTAAAAGCATGTCCTCATGTTTACCTTTGGCATACTCAGGTGGACTCAGACCGAACTTAACGCCCTGGATAGAAAAGTCCGCACTACCATGACGTCCCATAGGATGCATCATCCGAGATCGTCGGTAATGAGGCTGTACTTGCCGCGAAAGCGTGTTGGGCGTGGCTTTCTGAGCGCGCTCACCATGCTTAATCGCGAAGTGTGCAGTCTCCATCAATACTTCTTGGCGAGATCGGATGATACATTCTATAATGACGTCATTTGTAGTGATAAAGGCTTACCCCTCTATCCTTAGCCAACGAGCAATGGCAGGACCCAGCAGTGCTTAGCATTTCCGACCGGGTGACCGTATGGAAGGAGAAGGAGCTCCACGGGAGATACTACAAGGCTCTACATGAGCCCTTCGTAGATACAGTCGTCTCCCTCAACTGGCTACGTTTCGGTGACCTCTTCGGGGAAACCGAGGGTTTTGTCTGTGCAATACAGGATCAGGTTATTAAGACCAACAACTATCGGAGATACATCCTAAAGGATAGCACCGTCGACGTCTGTTGAGCTTGTCGCCATCCCGATGATTCGCTTAGGCATGTCATCTCCGGTTGTTCAGCGCTTTCTAACTCTGAGTACTTGCACAGGCACAACCTAGTAGCCAGAATTCTACACCGGGAGCTCGCTCTGAAATACGGTCTCGTGGACCGGAAAGTGCCGTATTACAAGTACTTGCCGGAAGCCGTGCTCGAAAATGACCGCGCCAGGCTCTACTGGGACCGCGCCATCATCACAGACAGGACTATTCTTGCGAATAAGCCTGATATTGTGCTGATGGACTGGGCACAGTCAAGGATATTTTGGTCGACATTATCATTCCGTATGACGAGAACCTCGTGAAAGCCGAAACAGATAAGCGAACAAAATATGAAGCTGGACCTGGAAATATCTGGACCTGGCTCACGAGGTGACCGACATGTGGGGTGGTCGGCCGACCGAAATTATTAATGTAGTCGTCTCTGCGAATGGGCTAATCCCAGTCAGCTTCTCGGGTCATATGAGGCGACTGGAACTCCGTGACGGACCGCTCCGGGCTCAAATGCAGAAGGCAGTGGTCCTTGATACCGCCCGCATCGTCCGTCGGTTTCTTTCCCTTTCCTCCTAACCCTCGGCCGTTTGGTCTCCTCTGTCGAGGGCTTCCATCTGGTTGGATCTTTATTTATTAGTTTATTTTTTGTATTTATTTTATTTTATTGATATTTATGTATATTTATTTTCATTTGAATTTATAATTGCCGTGTAGTGGCGGTTGAGAATATCCACTACCCCATATCTTCCCGTGGGTGTCGTAAGAGGCGACAGAGGAAGACAGGCAGGAGATGGGCAGCAGCATCTTCCTGATAACAACTGTGTTATAATAAAAAACTGCGGTTACCAACACGCTCGCCAAGCGTGGCAACTATGGCAAATATCCCCCCATGAATAACGACGAAAAAAAATGGCCCCCAGTCCCTGGCGGCCCCGCTATTCCTGGCTACGATGGCGACCATGGTAACGGCGGGGCAGGAGGTGCTAAGAATCTCCGGTGGAAGTTCGGTTGCCACCTACGACGACTCGACCTGGCAACATATAACACACGCACTCTGAGGACTGACGAGAAGATACTGGAGCTGGAAGAAGAGGTAGACAAGTTGCGCTGGCATATTATTGGATTATCCGAGATCCGAAGAGAGGGGGAGGATACGGCAATCCTCGAGTCCGGCAACTTGTTCTACCACCGGGAGGGCGACCATCTGTCCCAAGGAGGTGTCGGATTTATCTTCCAAAAGTCTCTCGTCAACAACGTTGTAAATATTGGGAGTGTGTCGACGACGGTCGCGTACCTGATACTCAGAATCACCAAACGGTATTCGCTGAAGATCATACAGGTTTACGCACCAACCTCGGCACATCCCGATGAGGAGGTGGAGGAAATGTATGAGGATATTTCCAGAGCCATGCATTCCTCCAAAACCCACTACACGGTGTTGATGGGAAACTTCAACGCAAAACTAGGCACAAGAGAAAGCGGTGAGCTGAGGGTGGGGAAATTTGGAGTAGAGCAACGGAACCGAAGGGGCCAGCAGCTGGCCGACTTCATGAAGAAAGGGGGACTCCTTATGATGAACTCTTTCTTCCAGAAGCGGCCCCACAGGAAGTGGACCTGGTCGAGCCCCGACGGTTCGACAAAAAATTAGATTGACTTCATTATGACGACCAGACGCCAACTGTTCAGTGATGTCTCAGTGATCGCAAGGGTGAAAACTGGCAGCGATCACCGAATGGTTAGAGGCACACTGAACCTAAACGTTAAGTTGGAGAGGTCTCGTCTAATGAAGTCAACGCTCAGTCCCCCTCGTACTCTGATCCAGAATCCCGAAACCTTTCAGCTCGAGTTACAAAACCGCTTTCAGTGCCTAGAGGATTGCAATGCAGTGGACGATATGAATGACAAGCTCGTGGAAACTGTCCATGCGGTCGGAGCTACGTTCTGCAACACCCGCCGCAGAAGAACACAAAAACTCTCCGATCACACTCTTAATCTTATAGCTGTTAGACAGGAGATGAGGCTGCAATCGTCAACAGATTTGACAGTACACAGGCAACTGAACAGACAGATCTCCAAATGCATGCGGCAAGACTTACGCAACTTTAATACTGCTCGTATTAAAGAAGCGATCGAGCGGAACCAGGGCTCCAAAGTCTTTGCCAGAGATCTGTCTGCCAGAAAGAGCCAACTGTCAAAGCTGAAGACTGAGTGTGGCAACATCGTTTCCGGGACACCTGAGATTCTGAGTGAGATTGAGAGGTTCTATGGGCAGCTGTACACATCATCGTTGGAGCAACACGCAAGTGTGAGTAACGATCCAAGAGCAAGTCTTATCCGACACTATTCCGATGATATCCCGGACGTCAGTCTGAGCGAGATTAAAATGGCTCTCCACCACCTTAAAAACGGCAAGGCAATCTGTTAGTATTTTCTACTTTCTAATATAAATTTATTTATTTATACTATATTATGGAATTTTCTGTTCTTCTCGAAAGTCTTTTCTGCCCATGTTCGACATTTTCAGAAATAATTACAACGTATTAACATGGACGTAGATTATTATTATTATTAGTAGAATGTTGTTGTTTTCAAAAGTTTTATGAATTGAAATACTATAACAGAAAACTTAAGTTTAAGGTTTGCAGTTTCCTTTCAATTATATGCAAAATATTCATAGCAAGACATAAGACTATTTAATGACTTTGAAATTTTAAGAATATCTTGTTTGTTTTTGCAGCATAAATTCTTAAATAAAAATCAAGCTAATAAAATAAAAATTAGGTAATTACTTGTTCAATTGCTTATTCATCATCATAATAAAAGCCTTTCACAAGTCAGTACGTATACTTTCCCCAAGGAATGCCAAAAAGCGCGATCTTGAGCCAACTTTATCCAGCTAGTTGAGCTCGCACTATAAGATGAGGCGAGATTAAATTTCATTATTTATTCAATAATCTTACTCGGTACTCGGGAATAAGCGCTCACCGTTAATTACATAGAAAAGCCCTCTCTGGCTCTAATGAAATTGTTAATTGTCATTTTAACTGCTAATTTATTAATAATTTGCAGTAGAGAAAAATATCTGAGGAAACCTACTTGTGTAAAAAAAATCAAAGATATGTGAAGTCCATCAATACACACACCACAAGCCTCTCAGATATGAGAGAAGATCTGCGCCAAGTGTACAACCTGCACAGACTGCAACTTTATTTTGGAATCGTTAATAATAAATAATAATCTTTATTATTTAGTGCGCAATATCTTCTACGTGATTTAACTATACAGGCGGGTGCCACGGGCGACAAAAAACATACTAAGTCCTCCTGTGTGAATGGAAAAGAATAGTTTTTAAGCTATTGCATAGCTTCTATCGCGGGCCTTGAGCGCGGGGA